CGCGGAAAAAGGCAAAGCACGAGCAGGGAAGCTGCACCCACTGCTCGCAAACCGGCACCTCGATGCACGCATCAAATTGACGGTTTTGAAGCGCGTAATCGTACCGCCGCTAGAGTACGCCGGAGAAGTATGGGAAGGAAATAAGAAGGTAGTGAAAGAACTCGAGGCGGCCAAGATGAAAGCAGCGAAAACCATCCTAGGATGCTCCAGGCGCACAAGTAATGCAGCCGTGAGGGCAGAATTGGGGATCCAATCCCTACGGTCGGGAAGAGACGCGAGGAAGCTGACCTGGCAGTATCGCATGTGCGGGATGGGAGAGGAGAGGTTGCCGAGAATTGTATGGGAGGCGAAGTGGGCAAACAAAAAGAGGGGTAGACAACCCACGGAATGGGTCAAGGTTGTAGAGGACGTATGGAAGGGGCTCGACATCGACGAAGATGAAACGCTGGAAACGGAGGGTCTACAGGGGTTCAAGGAGAAGATCTATGATGCTTGTGCCGAAAGAGAAGAACAGAATCTAAGGAAAGTATCCAAGGATAAAAGAGGGTCTAGAATTGTACGGAATGTTCAAGGAAGGAATAGGGTTCAAGGATTACCTACATGGACCAATGGATGCAGGAACAAAGCTTAAGGTCAAATTCAGGACCGGGGACATAGGCCTTCGAGAACCTCGACGAAGACATAGGACGGTAGACGACGAAGACGACGAGTTCAAATGTGATCGCGGCTTCGAATGCGAAGACCGTGTTCATGCAGTCGCGGAATGTCCGTGGTACAAGAAGGAGAGGGAAGTGTACATAACTGAGCTGGAAAAAATAGATGGGACATACAGGGAGATTTTTGAGGCATGGAATAGAGAGGAAAGGACGGTAGCTGTAGTGGGGCATAGGAGGTGGGTTGAAAAGGCGGGAAGGGATATCGGTAGGATAGATAGACTAGGGGAGTCATTTTTGAGCCACCTTTGGCAAAGTTGAAAGGAAAGATTGGCCATCGGTGATCGGTCCTGTGGGAACAATGCTCCGTCCTCTCGAGGACGCGTGGTCAATGGTCTAACCGCTAAGGCATGCGAAACATACGAGTAACCCCCCCCCATCAAACACGACGTGGAGGAGCTAGCTCGGTCACCTGGGCCATCTAGAAAGCTCTAGTCCGTTGCCAGTACGTGCTTGTGGTTGCCTAGGCAGAGGAGCGTCGGCTCTCAAGACGGTCAACATCAAGACGTGGGTTTCGTCAGGTTGTATCAAGTCGGGGTCACAGAGTGCCACTATATCGCCTCGTCAACGGCAAAGAGCGCAACAACTGAGGCAGTCGACGAGCTGTCAGTTTTCACTCCCGTACGACCTACAGTCCTAAACCAACGGCCTGCCTTCCTCCCCAAAATCCCCAGTGTGCTAGCGTGCTGGACCACAAACCTGTTCGCTGCCGCTGCCTCGCAGCCTGTCGAACACAAGCATCTATTCTTCCTTTCCCTTCCTACAAGCGCCAGGGCACGAATCACGATTTCCAAACCTTGTTGGGCATCTTTCGCGTCCAAAAACAAGGTCGTATGTCGTCCGGTACCATCCCGTTCCCCTGGATGCGGCTGCCCGCCGACATCAGCAAGAACGGGTACGAACTACGAACCATCGATCCCCCCTTCCCTCAAATAAAGAAAACACCCGGATCTAGTGTTGCAAGCACGTCCACATCTTCGTGTATTGGTGAAAGGGGTTATCTTGCATAGGATTGACCATCCAGGATTCGGCCCTTCATCCACCTTGGGGCTGCGGCTGCTCGTCTACATCAACAACAGTACCAACCCCCGGCGCCCCACTTTCCAAACCCTCCCCCCCCCCCCTTCTCTCACGTCTTTCTCGGC